ATTCTCCACTTTTTCATAACAGGTCCCTGCTACAGCAAACGCTACCCTTTCAGCAGGTATAATAAAGACATGAACACTGTCAGGTTTGCGGAGGATGAAAAAGAAAATTGCCCATATCCCCAAACACTCGAGAACATGCAGGAAACCTGTTAAGGTAGCAGATCATCGTGTAGGATAAGTAAACAGAAATATTACTTTACCCAACTTCAGAATTTATTAAAACTCAAAACCATTCAAGCTCGCGATATAAATAGGTTTGAGAAAGTTAAGACGGGGGGAGAAAAAGCCTCATGGAAGGAAATTTAGGATTTTGTGGGTTGTGTATCTGATTTTTTGGAGGTTGAAGATAAAAGGACAAAATCTCTGGGTACACTGGCAGACAGCAGCTCAACAACTCAGTAAACTACGTTACCTTTCCTCCCTCCTTTTCCTCTCTTCCGCCTTCCCTCTCTTCTGTCTATAGCCACTTGTAGATGAACACGTATTTATTAAGTGCTATCCAGTAGCTCAGTAGACAGAAGCCAGGCCCAGGCTAGCAACCTTGCATGGTGTCACTGCCTCCCTGAGGTGAAGTAAGGAACAAGAACCTTTCTCTACACTCAAGAGGAAAGTCCCCATGCTGCCGGGCTTGGTGCCTGTCGGAAAAATCCATCATGCGAAGCCACTACCCAAGAGCATTCCAAGATGCCTGTTACACGCTCAGGCAATCCCCAAGGAGGAGTACTGCTAAGGAAAATATGGAATGGAGAGCAGATCACACTGCATTTTGGAACAGTAAACCAGTAGCTGCCAAGCGGACTCTGACTCATGGCGACCCCATATGTATCAGAGTAGAACTGGGCCCCGTGGGGTCCTCAATGGATGGTTTTCTTGGAAGTAGATCACCAGACCTTTCTTTTAAGGCACCTTTTGATGGCCTAGGGGAAAACAACTTCATTATGGCTTCTACCAACTAAAGGGCCAACTTCCAATCTTTTCTCTAAATCCTACCACCTCTCCCCTACACGGCACCAGCGTCTTAGAGAAAACTGGGAGAGTTAGACGGATTCCACTCATCAGTGGAAAACCTGAGAAAAGCTAAAGAAAAGACAAAAGGTAAACCGTAAAGATGAAAAACATACTGAAAAATGAATAAAACCTAAAATGAACAAACCATCCTCCCTGTCCTTCAGACCATGGACTACTGGAGTAGACATGTAGTTGTTGGGTGCTGTCAAGTCAATTTCGACTCATAGCCACCCCATGTGACAGAGTAGAACTACCCCATAGGGCTTTCTAGGCTGTAATCTTTAGGGGAAAAGATTGCCAAGTCTTTCTCCTATAGAGCTGCTGGATGGGTTTGAACTGCCAACCTTTTGGATAGCTGCCGAATGCTATACCGTTGCACCACCAGCCTCCTTGAAGTAGACATACATGCACATTTATAATCATATATAACCACAATTCACAGACAAGTTTTATGACATGTCCAAAGTAATCACAATCCTTGGTCACATTCCAAGGAGGAAGTACTCGCTTCTGACTTAAACGGACCAAGACGGGCCTATGGAGCAGGTTGCATTTAATCATGGCCTCTAAAGATGCATAGAATTAAATCAGTTGGACATGGTAGAGATGTCAATGCAATGATGGAAGACATTTCAGTTAATTGATTATTGTAGATTATTTAGTACAATGGATAGCACTTAATAAATACGTGGTCATCTACAAGTGGCTATAGACAGAAGACAGGGAAGGCGGAAGAAAGGAAAAGGAAGGAGGAAAGGTAACGTAGTCTAGTGAAGTTGTTGAACTAACTGGCATGTGATGCTTAAGGTCAAGTTTGAGGATGCTGAGGATGGAGCATTAGACTGGAAAATTTTAGACTTGAAAATAGTTTCAAACCCGAAGGCAAAATAGCACACCCTACAAACACATGCCTAATAGATACCTGTTGTTTGGGTCACTGTTATCAAAGCCTGTTTATTGCTGTCTTGTTTTTAAAGTAAATATTCCAATTATAAAATAGACTACAAACCCATTGTTCCCAGGTTAATCCTATGAACTGTATCACATCTATCACCGATACTGATTAAATGTTCCGTGTTATTTTACCTCTCTCCAGAAACACAATGATTGCATATTGAATATCAAAATCAAAATGGAATGCTTCACTTGGGAGGGAGGACAGTCAGCTGGTGAAGCCACCAAGTCACCATGTGACCTTGGGCAAGGTGTGCTTATCTGGAAACACAGGGGGTTGGGCCGGATGATTTTCTAAACCCCTCCTAGTTCTAATCTGATTGTAAATTGCACATAATCTGGTTCAATGTGAATTGCTAACAATCATGCTTGTATCACAGTATTTAATATGGATCAGATGTTCTTGATAGAAAGCTCTTAGGAATTCTTAGTGAATAATTCCTGGGGTGATTAACTTCTCCCATTCACTAGGAATTCATTGACGAGTGAAGAATGTGGCAGAGCCTGCAACTTCGCCCCCAGTCCTCAAAAGAATCTCCCTGTCCCCTTCACATGTAAATGTATAATAGCCTCAAGAAAGTAAATCCAAGTAGTCTTACAGAACTCTGAACATTCTTCTTTCATATAAATAGAAAGATAGACTCTTGAAAAATAGAGAAACAATCCTGTAGACAATACAACTATTTTCTCTGGAGCAAAGGACCGTGGGATTTGTGGTGTTCCCTGCGGTTTCTGTGCTCCCCGGACCATCTGGACGCAAGTGGTGAAACCTCTTCCTCGCTTTCCTCTTCAGATTCATAATCCTCATCCAAGGCATGAAAGAGGGGCTTGGGCCGTGAAGCCAGCCTTCTGGCTCTGCCAGTACGCTCTTCTTGGCTTGTATTTCTTGGATAACCAAAGCTGAATGGCTGCCCTCCTCTGTGT